CATGACCATTCACAATCCAAGCAGGAACTGATTAATATTCAAAAGCATGGGATTCTTCCTTTGTTACTTTTACCATTTACAGTAGCAGCTGATTTGTTTGTACTGGAGTAATATCGTCATCAAAATTTATTTTCTTGCAAATTCTTTGTATCATTGAGAGGATCCAAGAAGTTCCTTGAGCTGAGCGAGAACTCTCTTCATTTTGCTTATAGTTTTCAGGACTTGATAGATCATTTCAAGGGGATTACCATCGATTGGGAGTTCTTTTTGATGATCTTAAGTCAACCTAGTTGGAAGTTCTTATTCAATGTCTTTTTGAAGGATATGCTTGATTTTTAAGTGTCTTTTTCTGAATCTTCATTCAAAAAAAGAATCTAAGACTTATATAAAGAATTAATCTTTTCTCCAAATATATCTTAAACTTATCATTCTTCTTCATCTGATCCAAAATTTGAATATTTCTCTAAATATTTGTTCTACTGGCTACTTAGGTTGCTTTGCAATTTCATTCTTGGATGCCTTGGGACCATAGAGAGACTCCCCATTCTGGACAACATCTGCAATTTCTTGACCATGTTTCTTCTGGTTGACATTTACCATTTTTACATCATTCTTGATTGATCCTCCAAGCCGTTTGCTGTATTCGGAATGTTCTAGTGATTGAGAGGAATTGTTTGACATGGTTTGGAAGAGAAGTTGATGACATCCTTAGACCTAAAGAAAATTGGCATAGATTCTTGGCTTTCTATCTTTAAACCTTAAATTCAGAGATCTTTTCAAATTTCAATGTGATGTTTTTTTGTTTAGGTTAAAGGAAAGTGAACGCGGCAGTGGAGGCTTCAAAAAGATGGAAGAGAGTTGTATTTACCAGTCGTAAAGAATATAAGGGGCAGCTATCTAGAACTTAAGGAAGAAAATAATGGAGGCAGAAAAAAGTTGTTGTCTCCTAAAGGAATAGCAGATTGATGACAACAACTTCATTTCGTAGTTGCTTAGTAGATCTATGAGTTTGATTCACAAAAGAATAGGTGATTAGCAATTGCACAGTGCCAAGTTTTGTGCTCTTGGTTGCCTTGTCTGCTCGACAAAGGAGATGCCCATCTATTTGTTGCAGCAAACGTGTGGAGTGCATTCAACATCAGATTGCTTTAAATGGATTGGGCAGACAACTCAAAGAGCTAGTCAAAGGATGTTGTATCCCCTGGCTCTCTTGTTTTCTGTAGTCACAGGCAATTCTATTGCCAAGAGAAATTTAAAATTTTTTCATGCCTAAAATACACAAAAAAAGTGAAGAAGGGTCAAGGAAAAAGCACCAAAATGGCGAGTCCCCTTCCAAGGCCCCTGCTCCCAGTGTCATTTCCTTGGTACCTTGTTTATGATATTTTACTTTGTCTTCCAAAAAAGAAAATGTTGATGGAGATAAAAAGAATAAAAAACTTGTTTCTACTGTTCTTCAGAAAACTACTTTTGTTTATACTTTGTTACTTCACTAACACATACCACTCTACCTGTTGTAATGAAAAACATATGTATAAGCATATGAAGTTAGGAAATGAGAATTATGAAATATATTGACCTACCAAATGGAGTCCAATATTATAATACTTTCCAATTAACCTTGCTTGGAACATACCCAGCTTATTAAGGTTCGTTCCATCAAGTTTCATGAATAGGCTGGATGTTTGGCTGACTTCGCCAGAGTTGCCAAATTCTGGTTAATTTGTTGAAGATCAGAAGATGTTTACAGTCGTGTCTACTGGACCGGTCCATCAGAGTGCAAAATCCTTGGGGATGATGTAGTTGTATGTGTTGATCTATGAATTTGTTTTTACTCACTCCACTGTTATAAAGACCTTTGCTTTTGAGAATACTTTCCATTTGGTAGTTGGATTTGTATTCAAACTACATTATTTGCATTTATTGACTCTGTAATAGGTTCGGCTATTTGACAGCCAGCACTATCTGAAAGCACTCATCGTAGGAGATGTGTGGGTAGCTGTTGGGTGGAGTAGTGATGTTCTTCCTGTTGCGAAACGCATGTCAAATGTTGCAGTGGTTGTTCCCAAGTCTGGAGCAAGCTTATGGGCTGATCTCTGGGTTTGCCCCATATCTTGTCATTTTAGTTCGAAGGTCTATTTGTTATACAGTAATTTCTACTGGGCTTTGGAGGGTTCATGTTAAAAAGTGAAGTGTTAAACTGGAGCATTATGATAATACAGACATGATTCGAATATGCTCTGGGGACAAAACCTATACTTCTAGAAAGAAA